CCCTTCCAGGCCGCATCAGCACTTCAAAGCGGGCTCGGGACCTGGAGGGGGCGGAGCCTGACCCTTTGAACCAACGGGGGCGGGAGGGGGGTGCTGAAGGTGCGGGCCGATGGCTGCCCCAGGTTGGCCCCACCTGGGCCCTCGCATGGGCACCTGACCCAGCGGCTCGGGCCTCTTGCCTGTGCCCAGTGGCCCGAGCTGCCTGGCATGTTGGGCCAGCTCAGCAGGTTAAAAAAAGCGCGGTCAGGGAACTGGAAGTATAGGACCTAGGTTTGGGGCTGCCTTCACCTGTTGGGACCTTATGCAGATTCTTAACGTTTTCTTGCAAAATCGTTCCCAGTTTGTACAATGGGAACCTTGGGGCATGCTGCAGCCAGGTCTATAGAATCGGTAGGTTGGGGGGGGCACCCGGGTGGCTCAGTGTTAAGCGGCTGCCTGCCTTTGACTCAGGTCATGATCCCAGTGTCCTGGGATTGAGCCCCACATCGGGCTCCCTGCTCAGAGGGAAGCCTGCTTCTCCCTCTCCCACTCCCCCTGCTTGTGTTCCCTCTCTCGCTGTGTCTCTCTCTGTCAAATAAATAAATAAAATCTTAAAAAGAAAAAAAAAAAAGAATCGGTAGGGTGAGGACCCTGAGTCGGCCCTGATCCCGGCTAGAAGTGAGAGGAACAGTAATCCATTTTTCTTCCTGGACGTGGCCCACCTGGTGGTGGTGGTCGTGGGAGGTAGGGGCACTATGAGGAAGCTTTCCCAGGCAAGTCCAACAAGCTGGTCAAAGCTGGTCAAGTTGCTGGACCATCTGAGCTGAGGGAGGGGAAGCCTGATGCCCTTCAGGACACCCTCAGCCTGGCAGGATCAAGGGCTTGGCCTGCTGCCACAAGCTGCCACCACTGGCCTCAGGCTGGTATTCCGCCACTTTGGGGCAGGTATAGAGGACTCGGACATTGAAATGTGAGTGGACGTGACACAGAAAAAGCATTTAACAAAATTCATACCCCTTCATGATAAAAATTCTCAGCCAACTAGCTGATAGAAGAGAACTTTCTCAACCTGATAAAAGGCATCTACAAAGAACCCACGGCTAATATACTCAACAGTGAAACACTGAATGTTTTCCCCTAATACTGAGAACAAGGCAAGGATGTCTGCTCCTATCCTGGCCTACTCAACATTGTCCTGGAGGGCCTAGCTTGTGCAATAACAAAAGAGAAATAAAAGGCATACAGATTGGAAAGGAAAAATAAAACTGTCTCCATTTATAGACAATATGATTGTCCAGGTAGGAAATCTCAGAGAACCTATGCTGCCTTGCCTGACCCCTCAGGAGTCTGAGTTTGCACCTTGTCGTAATAGCTACTTTGTGCACGTCTGTCCTCTGCCTAGACTGTGAAGTACCTGGTGTCTAGCATCATGTCTTCAAGAGAAGTATTATCTTACACATCTTTCAGTGGGAGGGGTATGTTTCCCATCCCCCATGGCTTCCAGGCCGGTGAGACTGATCGGTGAGCTGGTCTGTGGCAGAGGTGGCCAAGTGACTTGGTACCTTCTCCCTGGGTATCTCTGCCCACCACCACCTCCTCCCCTCGTTTTATCTTCTACTGCCCTTGGCCTCTTCTAGCACCTTCTGTACCCCCTTCCCCTGCAGTCTGCCCAGCAGTCCCAGAATTCTTATGCTCGTGGTCGCATCCAGGAGAGGTAGTGCCAACCCAGCCTCGGGGAGAAGGGGAGGAGCCCATTCCTTGGGCCCGTGACGTAGACCCATCTATTCCCAAGGAGAGCCTGCTCCAGGAGGGCCCTCCTCAGCCTGAAGCTGTCAGTGGGGTCTGCCCCTTTTGGACCCTGGTCAAGGGATGCCTTCCCGGGACCCCAGATCCAAGCCAAGAACCTGGCATTGCAGCCCAGCCGCTGGGCCCCTTCAATGCCACTGGACCCAAGGGGACTAATAGTTGGCAAATGGTAGAGCATATCGCGCACTCAGGTGGGAGGGGTGCAGAGTACAGACTGGTCAGGCAGGAGGGGTGGGATTTGCAAGGGCTCTGGGCACTCTGCTTCCAACCTTTTGAATGTCAAAAAATCCCTCCAATTCCCACGATTCGGATTTCCACTTTGCAGCTAATCATTGAGAAAACTCAGAACGACCAGAAACGCCTAGGCAATCAGCCACCCTGTTTCATTGTCATCTCTTTGAAAATCCAGTACGTGCACTTGGCTAGAAAGTCCACAGCTCAACAAGCACGGAGGGTCTAACGAAGTTCATTACCATCCTGCCTCTGAGGCCTGCAGTTCCCTGTCCAGGGGAAACTGCCGGGACTGGTTTGTCCTTGAAATGACTCTTCATTTTATGCAGTACAAAATCAACTAGACATGTTTTGGACAACAGGCCATATGTGTGGGAGGCAGACTGTTTATCCTAAAAACACAGCTCTGGCTCCTGAGGATTCGTGCATCTGGGACCTAAGATCTGACATCCCTTGGGCCCTTGTGCAGGAGCAGCCGAGAGGCCTGGAGCAGGAGAGACACGGTGGACAAGTGCGTGTGACAGTAGGATCTCTGGCGTCAGGCTGAGGGAGGGCTAAGAAGCCCCCCAGGCGAGTGTGGAGGCAAAGAGCCCCCAAAAAGGGCATGAGAGAGGCAGGGCAGATGGCAGGTTTCCACCCCGCCCCAACCTTGGAGGCCTCGGTCCTAAAGGCTGCCGCCTGGGAGTCCCTTCCTCTCCTGCTGCCCCCCCGCCCCGGGGGTGTCCGGGCCCAGTGTGTGCAAAGGCCAAAGCCAGTGGGGGCAGAGGAGGGACCCCTCCCAGCCCAGAGCCTGGGCTGTATGGCCTCCTGCCAGTTGCCTTTTCCCTTCACCCCCCCCGGCCCCCCCCCCACCTTTGATCTTATCACCAGCTCCTCCTATGGGCTCATCTGGGAGCTGCCCCAGTTAATGAGTTCTCCGGGCAGCAGGGCCCGCACGCCCTCCCGCGGCGGTGAGGCCTTCACACCTCTGGGGCCCGTGTTTTGACAAGTGCCGGAGCCAGTGGCTTCTGCCCCCTGGCCCGAGCCTGCCTGCGCCTGCCAACGTGTAAGGCTGGGAAATGAGGCCTGGGGGCAGCCCCACTGAGCAGAGGTGAGAGCTCAGCTGGGGCCGTTGGCTGGGATGGGGGCGGGCGGGACAGGGCAGCCTCCTCTTGGGCCGGGACCTGGGGCTCAGCCTTCCCACCAGGAGCCAGCCAGCTCCACCGGCCAGGCCTGGGCCCTGCACACGGGCCCCGCTCCCGCCTCCCAGCCTCCCTGCTCTCATTTCCCAGCGGGACCTTCTGACACGGGAGTGCTAATCAAAGGTGCTATGTCAATACTCCCCTTGTAGCCCCTAATCCCTGTCCCCGCCGGAGCCAGGGGCCCCAGGGGAGGGAAGAAGCTCCTCTGCCGCAGGCCTGCTGAGCATCTGCAGGCCCATCTCCCGGGAGGCTCCTCACTGAGGTGTCCCCTACGGGCCGGGATCATCCCACCACACCCCGGCCCCAGCCCGAAGCAGGCCCTTCCAGGTGAGGGACTGTTAGGAACAAGCTGCCACCTTGACACAGCCCAGGACACCCCTCTGGAATGTGGCCAGTGGGGGTTAGAAGCGAATCTCCATCCTGCCAGGTGCCACCCGTGTCACGTGGGGAACTCGCTCCCCACCTCTGGGCCCCAGCTTCTGCTCCTGTGCCACGAGGTGGTTAGACCTACTGTGCTGACATTCTAAGGAGATCATCCTGCGTGGCCTGAGCTTTGGGCCACCATCGTGGTCATGGTTGCTACTGTCACTTGGGCCTGGCACTGTGTTGGGGGCATGGCCGGGTCACAGCTCCCTGCCCTGCCGTGATGTGGGTGTCACTGCCTCCCTTTGCAGATGAGGGAATGGAGGTGTCGAGAGGTTGTCCCGCGTCACGTGGCAAACAGGGGCAGAGCTGGGGCCCATTTGCCTCTGCCTGGGTCAAAGCCTGTGTTCTGTCCTCCCCACTAGCTGTCCTATCTCCTCTGGAAGACAGGAGGGGCTCCTTTCCTCCTGAAGGCTGCCCCAAGAGTGAGGGTGCCAGTGTGGGGGAGACTCCCCCAGAGTCCTTGAGCACCCACAAGACCTTGTCACAGGTCCCAGGGACCCGTGGAGATAGAAGGAGGTTTCCACACCCACCCTGGACCTGCTGCACCAGAGCCCCTGGGGGACAGAGCTGGAGAACTTGGGTGTGAAAAGTACAGTTGCCCCAGAATTATGAAACTCGGCCACTTTCGAGAAGCAGTGCCCTACAGTGACCACCGCTCAATCCAGAGAGTGGAAAAAGCATGGGGAGTGCCCAGCCCCCCAGCATGGATCCTAAGCCCCCGTG